CACACACACACACACACTCAGAGGCACCTTTTCTATTTCCACTGGCTCACACTGCCACCTGCTGGCAGTGCTCAGGGCCTACTGCAGATCATGATGTTGGAAGAGGTTTTCCCTCACCTAGGAGATTCCACCCTCAGGAGTTTATCTTAAAAGGGAAGGGAGGGGAGGATATGTTTTGCAATCACAAAAGACTCCTGGGTGTATATAGTATCTAAGGGATTTCTTCAGTGTAATAGGTGCTAGACTAGGAAGACAAAAACCTGGAAATTTTCCTAGATCTAAAGGGGGAAAGCTGTTTGCCCATTTTCATTTAATCAATTATTTTTTTTTCCAACTAAGTTTTCATTTACAACCCACACACTTTCCATAATCGGCAGGAAACCTCTGTGCCAGTATCTTGCTGCAATGGACAGAACTTTCAGAAGTTAGAACCACGTTCATCTAGCCTCCAGTATATTTTTCACAGAACTCTATAAGGCTTTACCAGATGGTAAATGGTCTGTAAAAATACAAGGTACTGCCCTAACCGGTTTGGCTCAGTGAATAGAGGGCCGGCCTGTGGACTGAAGGGTCCCAGGTTTGATTCCGGTCAAGGGCACGTACCTTGGTGGCAGGCACATCCCCAGTAGGGGCTGTGCAGGAGACAGCTGATCGATATTTCTCTCTCATTGATGTTTCTAACTCTCTCTCCCTTCTTCTCTGTAAAACATCAATAAAATATATTTTTAAAAAAATACAAGGTACTTGGTCAAATTAGACTATGAACTCCTTGAAGACAGTGTCTTCACATCCTCTATGTGGGTATTCAACTATGATGCACTGAATCGAACCGAAGGAGTCAATGTTGATATCAGTATAACTTTTGTAATAAAAATTATTTATTGGCTGTTCAAAGGGGAAACTATCCCACTCCCACCAGGCCACCTTCCCCTTTGATGCTCAGTGAGCCAGGCATTTGTTCAAATACAGACCACACCACCCACTTGGTCCTGCCTCAACCCTGTAATGTCACCTGATTCGGCTGAGGGAAGTGGATGGACAAGCAGTCCCAGGTGGATGCCCTGTCCAGTCTGCAGTGATTTCCCCCGCCCGTGAGAATACCGCCACCAATGCCAACCAACACAGTTCCTACAGTCTCAACCAGTGAACAGCTGAGCCCCACTCCTGTGCCCTCTCTCCAACCCAGGGCTGCCGATAGGAGAGAGATTTAAGTCTTTGTTACTGAAGCTAATTTTGAGAGCGATGAATGGGAGCAGGGAGGCATTTAATGGACCACGGAAACCCCACCCGACCAACCCATTCCCAACCTTAGTCTCTGTACCCGATGGTCCAGGGGCTGGAGGTGGGTCACGGCCATGAGGAGAGAGATCAGGGAGGCCAGTCCTAAGGGGGGAAAAAAGATGTATGGTATTAGATTACCTAGCTGCTCTGTACCCAACCACCTTAGCAATTCAAATACTAACCCCCACGTTCAGCCATCTAACCCCCAATCTTTCCACTTCTTGGTCCTAAAAGACAAGGAGGAAGAGCCATCCTGTCCTGTTCTTGCCTCTGCAGAGAGAAGCCCCAGCTTGATGCCCCACGTGCGGGAGAGAGATGGAGCAACAGGACAGAAGGGCTGTTCCCAGAGGGCAGGAGAGACCAGCACCCTGACTGCTGTTTCCCTTGGCTTCTGGCCGAACTCAGGGAAGGGTCATGCCCAGCTGTCCTCTCACCTTAAGGAACCCGCAGGCCTAAAACTAGAAAAAGGTCTGTTTACTCACATCGAAACACTAGGCTGAGATGGTTCTTTTTAAACCTAGCCGGGAGCGGAGACCACGTGGGTCATTTTCTTACCTTGCTTGGACAGTTACTGCCCTGGACAGTTACTGCCCTGGACAATTACCCTGAAAAATGAAATATCCTAAAGGGTCCCCAGGACCACTCCAAACCCGGCCTGCTGCCCCCCCTCCTCCCGCTCCTACCCTCACAGCATCCCTGCTTCCTGAGGCAGGGAAAGTTCACCGGTGGAGAGACATCAATCTTCTCACCTTCGTGACCCTTGACTCTCGTCACCATCTCACCAGGTCCCCTCCCCCAGTGGTCAAGGATCACAGCCGTGTCCAAGGCAAACATGTCCATCCTGTTGGCTCTGTTCCGGACCCAGAAAACACTAAGCAAAGGCCGTGTGCGCAGCCCCCGCAGCCCCCGCCAGGCGCTCCTTGCAGTCCTGACCGGCCCCGGCCCCACCTCCCTCCACGAGTCCAGCAGCCCATCAGGATTCAGGTCGAGGCGAGGGGGCCGGACGGAGGTAGCTGTCTGACATGATGATGTCGCTGGTGAGTTGTTGCTCCAGGAACTCAGAGGTCTCCTCAGCTATCTGGCCTGGGATTCGAAAGTCCACAGCCGCGGCCTCCTGCTTGGGGCTGGGGAGGGGCCGGGCCACCCAGGACTCCGTGGAGCAGCCGGTCCCCTGCAGGAACTGCAGGAAGTTCTCCTCGATGGAGCCCTCCCGGCTGGGCAGCCTCAGCTCCTCCTCGGGGGCCTGCTTGAAGAAGCAGACGAACTGCTTGCTCAGCTCCCCCCGGATCTGCCGGTTGAGACAGCCATAGAAGAAGGGGTTGGAAGTGAAGCAGAAGTAGCCAATCCAAGTCACAACGTTCTCCACGTGCCGCGTGGACGTGGGCTGAGCACTCAGGGCCGCATAGAGGTGGAAAGAAAAGTAGGGCAGCCAGCAGAGCAGGAACTGGCCCCCCACGGCCAGGAGGACCGCGGCCGCCTTCCCGCCCCCGAACGTCCGGTGCGGGGTGGTCTGGTGGGCCCCCGAGCTGGTGACCATGGTGGAGCGGCTGCTGAGGGACTCCGAGCGCTGCCGGGGCGTCTCCATCCACGTGGGCAGCGGCCCGCGCTGCATGGCGGCCACGCGGGCCACGCGGAACATGCTGCAGTAGACCACCAGGATGAGGAGCAGGGGCAGCAGGAAGTAGAGGACAGCGAAGACCACCACGAACAGCTGGCAGTAGGCACTGCGGCTCCATTGGAGGGAGCAGCCTGGCGGGATGCTGGGCACCCCCTCCTCCCGGGAGACCCTCCCCAGCACGGGCATGGCGGCCATGGCCAAGGCCTTCACCCACACCCCCACCAGCACGGAGGCCACCAGCCCCAGCGTCATGCGCACCTCGTAGCGCATGGGGTGGACCACATAATAGTAGCGCTCCACGTTGATGGCCGACACGGAGAGGATGGCCAGGCTGACAAAGCACACGCTCAGGAACACGTAGAGGCGGCAGGCGACCTCCCCGAAGAGGTCATGGTCAAAGAGGGCGGAGCTGGAGAGCATGGCCAGGGGCATGAGGGTCAGGGCGGCCAGCAGGTCCACCAGGCAGAGGTGGAAGACGAAGACGAATTTCCGGAGGGCGGGGGTCTTGGCGATGACGGCCATCACAGCGGCGTTGCCGGCCACGGCGGTCAGGTCCAGCAGGAGCATGAAGAAGAGGGCCACGGACTCCGAGGCCACGTCCTGCAGCCCCACCTCCGGGGCCCCGCTGGCGGTAGAGGGACCCGGGGTCTGGGGAGCCCTCCCCAGAGTGGAAGAGTTCCCTGATGACTGGGGGATGGGTGAGGACTCCATGGGGCCGGAAGAGGACACCCAGGGCACCTCCTGTCACAGGCCCATCCCCCATCCTAGTCCAGTGGCCCTGGGATGGCCGGCCCAGGCCCCGGCTTCCCAGTGCTGTGAGTGGGGGTGGCGGGAGAGGGCACCTCCTGCTGGAGTCTCTCAGGCACGCTCCGGGGGCCAGCCTTGGAGGGAGGTGGGCGGCTGTGCGGAGCCCCGGGCCAGTAACAGGCTCAGGAGCTCATCTCTCCGCCGGGAGGTAGCTCAGGGTCTGCCTCGGTGACCATGACCTCAGAGGAAACAGACGTGAGGGATGGGGGAGCCTCGGCCACTCAACACTCCACCCGCTGACTGGTCTCCGGCTCCTTCGTCACCACCTTCTTTCCTCTGTGGTCCAGACCCTTCTCCCCTCTCTAGGACGCCTTATCCCGAGAGTCTGGATCTGTGCCCCGTTCCCAGGGTCCTGTGAGCGCCCGGCCAGTGCCCGGGTTTAAGGCTGTTCACACACGTTTCCTGGTTTCTCGTCTCCTCGCAGCGGCAGGTGCAGGTGGGGGCAGAAAGAACCCAAGGTCTGGGAACGGCTAACGCAGTGACTCCTCCGAACTTCAGATTCCTCGTCAAGGCATCTGCAAAGGAAGGGAAGCACACCGACTTCACAACCGTGTCCGGGGCCCTGAGGTTCGGCAATAAGGAGACTGATAATGAGCCGTGACGTTCTAAGAGGCTTTCCGCCCGCCAGGCCTGGTGCCGAGCACGCTGTGGAGTGGCTCCTCACACAACCCTGCCCGGGAGGGGTCATTCTGATCTCCGTTCTGCCGTCGATGGCATGGAGGCCCGGAGAGGGCCAGTGACTTACCGAAAGTCACACAGCGAGCACGCGGCAAGGCCGGGCGCCACGCCGAGTTCAGTGGTGCCTCCACGGCGGCCGGACCGTGTGGGCATTCAGTGAGTAGCTGTCCAATGGGAACCGTCTCTAAAAACATCTCTCCCTGCTCTGGGGCTGGAAGAAGATCCCCGAAGGGGCCAGACGGCTCTAACGCACGTCCCCAGGACAAAGGGCTGATACTGGGGGAGGGTAAGGAGGAACAGCAGGCCCTGGCTGGGCAGCTCAGCTGGTTGGAGCATCGTCCCCATACGCCAAGGTTGCAGGTTCGATCTCCAGTCAGAGCACATACGAGAGTCAACCAGAGAATGCAGACATGGTGGAGCAACAAACCTCTCTCTCTCTCCCTCTCCCTCTCTTCTTCTCTGTCTAAAATCAATACATTAAAAAAAAAAAAAGCCGAAACCAGTTTGGCTCAGTGGATAGAGCGTCGGCCTACGGACTGAAAGGTCCCAGGTTCGATTCCGGTCAAGGGCATGTACCTGGGTTGCGGGCACGTCCCCAGTGGGGGATGTGCAGGAGGCAGCTGATCGATGTTTCTCTCATCGATGTTTCTAACTCTCTCTCTCTCCCTTCCTCTCTGTGAAAAATCAATAAAATATATTTAAAAAAAGAAAAGAAAGAAAAGGAGGCTGGGCGTTCAGCCCTTTGAGTTACCCCCAAAGCTGGAAGGGCCGACGTCACTAGGAACTGTCCTCCCCACCCACTCGGTCACTTCCCAAGGCCACTGTGCCCCTGCAGGTGGGAGGGGCGCTGTCCCTAACCGCCCAACCCCTGGGGCCCCAGGTCTCTGGTCACTGGAGATGACCACCGGAGGACCCCAGGCCCAAAGCCCTCTTGTTCCGGGACTGTTACCACATCACAGAACTGGGGGGACAAGAGGGAGCAGGCATCTGGGTAAGGGGGTAGGTGCGAGAGTGGGCAGATGACTTAGATGGTGAAGGTCGGTGAGCATGAAGCAGGGAAGAAACTGGGAGAGGGAGTCTGGGATTTCAGCACCTCCCCTGCCTCCCCATCCAATGGCAGCTCACAGCAGTTCCATGTGCTCCTTGCCCTGCTGTGTTTGCACACAACTGGGATCGTTGCCCGATGTAAGTTTCATTGTTTTCCTCCCCAGATGCTATTCCCGCAGTCCAGACCCCTCTGTCTAGGGTGTTGAGTGTGCAGCCGAGAGGCAGCCCGTGGGCATGCCGTCGGGTGGGCTTTCTGTGGGCACGTCACCAGTTGCCCGGGTCCCACTTTCCTCGTCTGTGAAAAGGGAGGACTGGACTAGCCGACCTCCCAGGTTTCCACCTGTGATGACTGTGGGCTCCTGGGCTCCCGAGGGCCTGGTGTTGCTCAGTGTGAAAACACCATCATTTGGGCCCTGGCCGGTGGCTCGGTGGTTGGAGGAATGTCCCATACATTGGAGGGCCGCAGGTTCGATTCCAGGTCGGGGCATGTACCCAGGTCTCTGGTTCAGGGCATGTACGGGAGGCAACTGATCAGTGTTTCTCTCTCACATCCATGTTTCTCAATCTCTCTCCCTTCCTCTCTAACATCAATAAAAACACATCCTGGGGTGAGGATTGAAAATATTTAAAAAACACCACCAACACCATCATTTCTCTGACTGTAGTAAAGAGGACCACATGGGACAGATGGGTCCCCACCCCCCTGCACAGTTACAGGCAACACCACCCCTGGTTTGGGGCATCACCGCCAACCTTGCACCCCTTTGACGGCTAGCACACCGTGCAGGCTCCGGGTGCTCAGTGCAGTCTGTGAATGGAATCAAACTCAAATCGATCGTCTGAATCCCTGCCGCCAGGGCCTCCTCCAGGAAGGCTCAGTGAGCTGTGTGGCAGCCAGGAGCTGCTCCGGGAAAGGGTGCCCTGGGCTCCTGGACGCAAGGCAGCCCCAACTTTGGACAACTGCCTGCAGACGCGCCTGTCCCCAGGGGCCTTCGGAAGCTCACTTCACAGCTAAAATGGCCACAGAGATTCCGAGGCTGCAGAGAAGGGGGAGAGAGGGCCCCGAAGTGGAGACATCAGCTTCTCGTAAGACAGTCTCCCCGGAAAAATGCAGAAGGAAAGATAGGGGGCATCCTTGCCCCTTCCTCCCAGGCCATGACTCCCAGCCCTTCCATCTGGGAGAGGGGCCCAGGAGACTCGGTTCCCAGGCCCTGGGAGCCGAAGGGGAGAGGCCCCCCGGGGCTGACGGACATCGGGGCTGCCAGCAGGGCCCCCCTGGGTCCCGGACGGAGGGAAGCAGACATGGTTGCCACGTGGAGATGGGGGCAGGGGGTGGGCGCCATGCAGACATAATGGAGCCCTAGACAAGAAAGCTTCGGGCATCTCTCTCTGCCACAGCTCCCTCGGCCTCGCCAGGTCTCCACACTGACTCCTAAGTCCCAGGGGTCCCCCTCCTGACAGATGGAGCGATGGACCTGCCCGGCATCGCTCGCTGATGCTGATGGGAGCAGCGGGCTGGGGGGCACCGGTGTGGGAGGCAGGCCGGCCTCCGTCCCCTCCTCGCTCACATCATTCTGCCTCTCGGAGGCTCTCATCCACCGCTCCCTCCCGCCCCCGCCCTCCCCTCAGGACCTGAGGGCTCTGCCACCCCCGGGGCCAAGGTCTGGGCCTCAAGCAAGGACATGGTCAAGTCACAAACATCCTCATTTCTGGGTGCAAGACGCCCAGCAGTGCCCAGCCCGAGGCCACAGGGCGCCGTGGGCTTCACAGGCACCTGTCTCCCAGCCCGAGCTGCCCTCCCCAGCACCGAGCCCGGCCTTCCTTCAGACTGGCACGCCCGCCTGGGCCACCAGCCTTTCCGGGGACCCGCAAGCCCTCTCCCTGGCACAGCTGCCCACACCCAGGATGCAGAGTCGCCCATCGGCCTGGATGCCCAGGGACCCATTCCTGGGACGTGGGGACCCGTCTCTGTGACACGGGAGGAGAGCGATGGGGAGCCCTCTCTGCCTGCGGACTGTGGGCACTCCTGTCGGCAGGAGGTCAGCCCCATCTCTAGGCTTCGGAGATGCCCACACCCCAGTGCTGCCTTCGGGATACCTGGGAGCCATCCCTGGCATGAGGTAGGGTGGGCTGGTCTCCGGGACACAGAGCCGCCTCCCGTAGGAACCCTCGGCACCCAGCCCCAGTCCCCCGTCTGCCTCTGTTCCTGGCCTCGTCGGCAACTCCTACCTTTGCCCGGCAGCTCCGGGGCCCATGTGATAGCTCCTCCCGGCTGCTCCAAGGCTGCTGCTGCCGGAGCCACTGCAGTGAGCGTGAGAGGCAGCGGCAGGGAGGATGCTCCCAGAGCTTCTGGGTCCTAATGGCCTCCCACTTCCCACCCAGCCCCTCAGAGCCACTCAGGCGCCAGTGCCCCCCGGCAGGGCACCCAGGAGCCGGCCCTGCCCTGCCCGCCTCTCTCGGGTTGCTGGGTGGCACCTCAAAAGCCCAGTGGGGCGCGTGATGGGAGGCAGGGGAGACCGCCCCGGGCAGCCAGACGAGGTGAAGAGCGGACCTGGCATCGGAAAAGCCGCGTGGAAGGCCTGGCGCTGGCACGGACCTGACCGGCGCTTTGACCTTGGGCCTGCCCCGCTCTGGGCCCGTGTCCTGCCTGGTCAAGGAGATGCAGGAGCGATGCTCCCCGAGGCTCCTGGAGGGCTGGGTTGGCGTGGTCCTGAGTAAGCCAGCCAGTCAGTGCAGGCGTCAGGGCAGAGCCCGGCCCAGGCCTGGCGGGGCCCGGGCCCCAGGGGTGGCCCAGGGCTGGCTCCTTCGGAAGCTACAGAATAGGTGGAGAGGGCAGGGGTCAGCGTGGCGGGCAGCTTGGAGGGGGTGTCAAGGCCTCACCCCAGCTCTGCGCTTGCCCCTCACCAGCATGTCATCATGGCTTTCTCGGGATGTATGTTACTTGGTGCGGGGCTGCGAGAGCTGACAGATAGGGGGCCTGACATCCTGGGAGCCCCCTGTGGTGCCGGCCAGCCGCTCCCTGAAGGCAGAGCCAGGCACGCAGGCAGGATGCTCCGATGGGTCTAGGTCTGGAGTACTGGAGGGTCCCAGGCCCAGTGAGGAGCCTTTGGAGGCAAGAGGAAGGGGTGTGGCTCCCCCATCTGTGAAGAAAAGGGTCAGCGCCCTAATGCAGGACTGACCCCCCAGACATCCTCTGGCCAAGGCAGCCATGTTTCTGAGGCCGGAGAGGTGAAGAGATTGCCCAGAGCCACACAGGCAGAGCCATGAGCTGAGACAGGAATCGGCACGATGCCCACTCCGGAGCCCTCTGCCCTCGATATGCCCACCCAGAGCCTCCTCCTGTCTCTAACAGAAAAGGAGGGGAGTCGGAATGACTTCTCAGACCAACCCACAGAGCCAGAGAACAACGAATCGCTCAGGGAGCTCGGGGGGGCAAGACAGCTGCCCAGCGCCCGGCCAACAGCAAAGCGGCCGCTGTCAGCCCGACCTGCACGGTGATCTCCTCGTGCCCAGCGTGCTTTCTGAGCCTCCCGAGCGCCAGGCCCTTGCCACGCGGTTCATCCAGTGATCACGCCGGTTCCATGAGTGGCCATTCCTCACCTTGTTTTCCAGAAGAGGAATCGGGTGCCTGAGGTACGAGACTTCCCCCCATCACACGGCAGGTAGATGCCAGAGCCAGGATTTGAACCCAGGTCTGTTTGAAGCCAAAGCATTTGCTCCTTCCCCCGCGCCCCAGGCCTCTCAGGGGGCCTGGCGTGAAGCTCGGCTGAATCCCTACGGTGGCCACTGCCGTCCAGGGCACAGCCTCCACCAGAACTGGAGACGCCTGAGCGCGGGGAAATCCAATCGAAATGTCCAGTTAAGCCCTGCAGACAGCAGAGACTTTCATCAAACCCTGTGCTGTCGTGCAGGCAGGATCATCTCGATGTCAATCAAACCTCTGGGGTCATGGAAAGCCTGTCACCGATCAGCACCATCCGCCCCCAGGGCCCAGCCGGACTGGCCGGCCCCCTCCCACGGGTCCAGCAGAACCAGAGTGGACTCAGGCTCATCGGAACAGGAGTAGAGGAAGGGCACTGGGCCGTTCAGAACGCCTTGCTTCTGACCCGGCCGGTGTGGCTCAGTGATTGAGTGTTGACCTATGAACCTGGAGGTCATGGTTCAATTCTGGACAGGGCACATGATCCCCAGTAGGGGGCAGCTGATCAATGATTCTCTCTCACCACCGATGTTTCCATCCCTCTCTCCCTCTCCCTTCTTCTCTGAAATCAATAGAAATGTATTTAAAAAGTAAACCAACAAACAAAAACACCTTGGTTCTGATCGCGCTCTCCTCTCTTGGTGGGTGGCCATCTGTGTCTTAGTTTTTCTCTCTATAAAATGGTCAAAGGTCTTTGCTCTCCAGCTAATCTAATAGGGGTAGGGACCCTGCAATACAAAGGTGGCCTTGGGGAGGTTGGACAGGCACCCTGGCCAGCCAAAGCCTCCAGGTCCTGAGCTCCCGCCCAGCGAGCCTTCGGGGAGGCAGGTGGCTCCAGGAGGCCACCTAGAGCAGCAGTTCTCAACCTGTGGGTCGCGACCCCTTTGGGGGTCGAACGACCCTTTCACAGGGGTCGCCTAAGACCATCGTAAAATACATATATAATTACATATTGTTTTTGTGATTAATCACTATGCTTTCATTATGTTCAGTTTGTAACAATGAAATTGGGGGTCACCACAACATGAGGAACTGTATTAAAGGGTCGCGGCGTTAGGAAGGTTGAGAACCACTGACCTAGAGGGTCCTCTCAGTGGCTCAGAAGTGGGGGTTGGCAGGAGGAAACACTGCCCGTCCTGGCTGGAGGCAGCTGGTGCCGATGAGGATGAGGAGGATGATGATGGTGACACAAGTCACTGAAGGCCCAATCTGGGGAGGCCCTCCTACTGTATCTCATTAAATTACCTCAATCTGGAGAGCTATTGAGATTACAACCCGCCGCCCCACCCCACCGGTCCTTTCAGAGCTTTGCACGGGGAAGAGGGGAAAGACCAAGGCAGAGAACCACCCAGAGACCCACGGCCCGCACTGCATGCATGCCCGGGAGTGGGCGCCTGTCCCAGGCCCGGGCGGTGGCAGCCCTCAGCTGAGGTCTGCTCTCTCCACCCCAGACTTCCTCCTGGCCAGCCCTGCCCGCCCCTGCCCCCCAGCACCTCCTAACAGGGCTATGTCCACCCGCCCACACACTCCACCCTTTCCCGTCCCCTCAGATGAGACCCTGAAGTGCACCAAGTTCATCCTTCCGCGTCCGTTTGTTCAGTAAGTACCTATGGAACGCCCTCTGTGCGCCCACAGCCCCTCCCTCCTGCCCCGCTAGCTGGAGGCACCCACGCCCCCCTCCGCTCTTTCGGCCCCGGCCAGAGCCTGCTCCCAGGAAGGAGGCTGACACATCCGTCCACACCGAACAGCCCAAGGTGTCCTCTCTCCCAGGAATATTAACAATTTAATATCAACCATTTATCAGGGGGCAGAGGGGAGGAGCGAATGCTGGGATCCCGGCCCCGACCAGCGTCCCTGAGACTGCACGGCCCAGACTGTCTGTTCAAACGCCTCCTCCCCAGCCCGGCCTCCCCCCAGGATGCCAACGTCGGCTCCTCCCTGCACCCACTCCATCTCCACAGACACCCAGCCCTCCCGGCTAAGAGCAGGCTCCCAGCTGGGACCTCCCCCCTGCAGCTCAGCCCCCAGCTGCCCAGGTGCCACCCTGCCACCCGCCACCTGGGGGCCGGGCTGAGGATGAGGGGAGATGAGGAAAGCAGAGGTGAGAGCCGTTTCTTCCCCTTTATTCCCCCACAGTCTGGCCGACACCCCCTGCCAGGAGCCAAGATCCAACGGTATATTCAGCCTGCAGCTGCCACTGGTCATGTGAGCCCATTGCTAGGTTACAGGGACCCAAAAATAAACCTTCCCAACCAGATTAGAAACTGGGGGCCTCAGATGAACCGGGCTCAGAAGAGTGGCAGGAACACCCACCGTGCATGTGCAGCCAGGCCGCTATGAGACCAGGGAGCCTTCCCCAGCCCGCCCGCCCCCATCCATCAGCGGGGGCTCAAGGCTGGACCCCAAAGAAAAACTCCCAGACAGCTCCTGGGTCCTTGAGAGCTACAGAGTGGAGAGGCCTGCAGCGGAGCGGCCCTTCCTCCCTGGTGGCAGGGGCTGCAGGGACAATGCCCTCTGCCCATCCTCCCATCCAACCGCTCTCCTATCGGCCTGCCCTTCTGAATGCCCACCCCACCTCCAGGCACCATGAGCCACGTGTCCTGCGGCCTGCCAGGCGGTCTGTCCCAACCGTCTTCCTCCCCACTCCGCAGGGAGACCTCGCCGTAGGCACAGGACTGGGCACTTGCACATGAGCAGTTTTATAAGGGTTTTCTGAGTCCGTTTCAGTAACTCCATTTACAGCTGAGGCTCAGAGAGGTTAAGTGACTTTCTCAGAGACACACAGCCAATCGGCGGGGGTCAAATCCCAGGTCTATGTTTACTGAGTCTGGGAATGGGACAAGGAAGAGGACAAGAAACGGCAAAGGAAAGGGGGCCCCCGAAACCCTTCCCTGGAGCCTGAGAACTGGGCGCTTTACTTGCTCTGCATTGGAGGTGCTGTCTCCCCCTGCCAGCCCCCTCCTCATCCTCTGAGCCCAGCCACAGTTGACTCAGCCACGTGTCCCATCATGGCCTTGAACTCTGTCACCTCCAGGACCTAGGTGGTGTCATTCCAGGTGCTCAGGCCTGGGGCAGGGGGTGAAATCCCCAGGAAGCTTTACCCCTCTACTTCTGAACCCCAGAATGGAGTCAGGAGAGCAGAGCTGAAAGGGTCATAGGAGGTCAGATATTTATGTTACAAATGAATAGGCCCAGAGAGGGGGAGTAACTGGCCCAAGGCTACACAGCTGGAGGGTGAAGCGGATGTGACCAGAATCCAAGCCTCCGGATCCCTACCCATTTTTTGCCTGTCACTAAGGAAGCAGGCGTCCTAGGTCTTAAAGGAAGGGTAGGGTTGTAAGTGAGACTTTGAAGGAGAGTGGCCCAGGTGGGAGGAGCAGGCCTAGCAAACACATGGAGACAGACAGGCAAGCTCACGGAGTATCAGGGCACCATGAGTTGTCCCGTTTGGCTGAGAAATTATCTGTGTGTAGGGCAGACTCGAGGACAGAGAGGTAGACTGGCTGGACTGTGGGAGGCCTGGTAAGCCAGCCTGATAGGTCAGCACAGTACCGTGTTTTGAGCAGGGAAATGTAGGGCCACAGATGTGCTCACCTCCTGTCTTTCAATAAATGTTTACTGAACCCACAAGCTCCAGAGTGAGGGGGTGAACGCGAGGCTGGGAGTGCTCCTTGTCCCTCAGGCCCAGAGCGAGGGGAGCAAACATATGGGCCATCACGGAGATGGTGCCTCTGAACACGCGTCCGTCAGAGGGACTCAGAGGCAAGGGGAGGTCAGGATGACGGACAGAGAGATCAAAGGAGGCTCACACCCCCCAGGGGGGGCCCTCAGAGGGGTGGGGCTTCCGGAGCACCAGCTCAGGTCCCCAAGAGTGACCCGCACGTCCATCCTGTGGGGAGGAGGCCAAGGATGTGGTAATTTGAGCGTCTGGGAATTCTCCCCTCTAGATTCATGGGGTCACAAGAAGTTGCCCAGTCTGATCCGCAGGCACATGGCACCCTGGACCACCCAGCGTCTCATTCCAGTGCCGGCCACCAGCTCCCGCAGTCCCCGCTCCAGCCTGTGAGCTGAGCTAGGCTGGGCTGGCTTTCCCTGCACGGGCGCTCCCCGCATGCCTGGTCTCCGACTCTAGGGGAAACCCCTGCTCTGCA